GTAATAATTCCCAGACTTGGAATTCCTTGGTTTTTGTCATGATCTGGGCTCTCTAGGATTCTGTTGACCAGTAGTTGGCATGCTATGTGTTGCATGCAGGGAAGATTCTAGAATAGTTTACGACCTAACAGTACCTTCTGAATAAGTGTCTTCAGTCACAGGGGAAGTACTTAGTGATGTCGGATTCCCTTTCAGACTGGAGATGGTGTGAATGATGCTCCTGCTCTGAAGAAAGCCGAGATCGGCATTGCCATGGGCTCTGGCACCGCAGTGGCTAAAACTGCCTCCGAGATGATCCTGGCCGATGACAACTTCTCCACCATCGTGGCAGCTGTGGAGGAGGGGCGGGCAATTTACAACAACATGAAGCAGTTCATCCGCTACCTCATCTCATCAAACGTGGGGGAAGTTGTCTGGTAGGTCCATAAGACAAATCACTTGTGTTCCTTTATCTAAAATTGTAGCTGGTTTTCCAGATTTGTTCTTCCTATGGCAGCAGCCTTGGTCTCTGAGCATGTGGTGGGAGGGAGGTCCTGTCAAGATGAAGGAAGCGGGGCCTGTCTGGCCGCCCTTCACATAGAAATGGGTTTAAATTAACTACATAAAATAACCTAAAATTCTTGGCCTTCTAAAAGTTAACTGTAATTTGAAATTGGGTATAATAAATGTTTTATGATTGCCCCCAAAAAAGTTATTGTTGCTGTCCATTAATTTTTATGGAGGAGTAGGGCATGGTGATACTATTTGAGTAGTGACCAAAAATAATTTGGGATCTTTCTTTTTTCCTTGGGTGGAAACAGTATCTTCCTGACAGCAGCCCTTGGATTTCCTGAGGCTTTGATTCCTGTCCAGCTCCTCTGGGTCAATCTGGTGACAGACGGCCTGCCTGCCACTGCATTGGGGTTCAACCCTCCTGATCTGGACATCATGAATAAACCACCCCGGAACCCAAAGGAACCACTGATCAGTGGGTGGCTCTTTTTCCGTTACCTGGCTATTGGCTGTGAGTAGTTTTACATTGTTGATTTATAAACAAAATGTTTGTGAGCCAAAATTTTGTAAATTCATCCCTTAAAAGCACATTTTGCTACTCAATTTACAGTAAAGTTAATCCCTGTTTTAGCGTCTTCATCCTTGTGAGGTTTTCAGATTTAACCTATGGACAAAGGGATACAGGGACGACTCAGGCCTTACATCACTAAGATAAGAAGAATGAAGACCCTTTTCCCTCATTGAGAAAAGGGACCAACCTGTGTGCCCATCAGCAGTGGTTGGTAAATGCATGGAGCTTGGCCACAGGTCAGACTCTTCTCCAAATGTCACCTCTTTAGACTTCATCCTCCTGACCCAAGTGCTGGTTCTCTTCCCCATTTCATAGGTTTGGAAAGGGAGTCCCAAAGAGGTGAAACAACTTCCCTAGGGCTCCATAGAAAGGTGACTTAAAATTCAAAAAGCACACCCTGCCATAAAGTGGGCAGGCTCTTGGTCAGTCATTTCCCTTCTAGTGGTAACAGTTTCTCAGGTGCCCTTCCAGAGGAGCTGTGGCAAATAGATTTTGTCTTTATTTTCTCAAGTGATGGCACGCTACACAGCCCTGTGTGCTGAACTTTGTCCTGTATTTCTTCCTATGCTGGGTAATACCTGCATCAGTACATGTATAGCTAGCTGCCTTATCTCTGGGCACCAGCTCCTTGCTGCACTGATGTACTAGGTGGGTAAAAGGGTGGGTGCGCTTATATCTTTTGTGGATGCTACCACAGTGGAACATTCTCTTATTCTCAAGGCCCTGTGTTTTCCACTACCCCTTGTTGCTTCTGTGTAACAAACTTTGCTGAATTAAAAAGTAATAGGGGAGTGGTTCCCAGAATCGCTTTCAGGTATTGCCCCGTTCCTTACTCAGTGTTATGCACTGAGTGCTCTAATAGCCTTTCCACATAACGATCCTGCCAGGCTTTTGATGGAGCAAATTAATATAAATTAGTGTACAGCTGATGGTATCAGTTTGCCTAAAAGTCATGGATGGTGTAATCTGGTCCTACTACACTGTGTAGCCTTTTTTGTAGAACACATAACTGCAGCCTTACTGTGTATTGGCTGTGGACTAGAGAAGGGCATGGCTATATGGTAAAGGTCCTACTACCAAACCAGTAGAACCAGTTCCTCACAAACTCTGGCTGCCTGGTTCTTCTGTACCACAGACCCGTCTCCTTGCAGAAGCCTCGGTCCAGCTGCTTTTGCACAGGTGTTTCAGTTATTGTTGACATACCTTGTCTTTCATCTGTCCCGGTGAATGGCTTACGAGGCAGCAGCTACAGTGAATGCTGCAGGCTGCAAACCCCGTGTGTGTCATTGTCGTGATATTTGTTCCCAGGTTATGTTGGCGCTGCTACTGTGGGTGCTGCTGCATGGTGGTTCGTTGCTGCTGACGGCGGTCCAAGAGTGTCCTTCTACCAGCTGGTATGTAGCCATCTTCCTTTCTGTGCCTTAGGTGGAGAGTGTTATAAGCCCAAACAATGTTAAGCTTTCTGTGGTTTGGGCGCCTGTCAGATAATCTTAAGGCTCAAACAATCTGCAGTTGCATTAAAGATTATTCTGAAGGATCTAGCTTCTCTGGAAAATAGGGTGAGGTCTTGTGTGGCTCTGTGTTTTGGACTTAAGGAATTGGTGCATGGACTTAGGAAATATACTTGGCTGATCATTGGGCTTTTGTTGCAGAGTCATTTCCTACAGTGTAAAGAGGACAACCCAGATTTTGAAGGTGTGGATTGTGCAATCTTTGAATCCCCGTACCCGATGACAATGGCACTCTCTGTTCTAGTAACCATAGAGATGTGTAACGCCCTCAACAGGTCAGTGAATCTTCTCAGCAAGCTGGGCGAAAGCTCTGACAGCAGGGCGCTGTGGGATTGTGTGTATGTGTGTCATCGTTGATTGAGGATCACAGGAAAGCTCTTCCTTCCCAAAAAGAAAGGAGAACAAGCGGCACCTGCTTCCAACGCGTAAGAGCCGTCATCTCCAGGAGGTAGTGGGAGGCTTAGCCATGTGTCTTTAAGAGACAGGGGAGGACGCCTGTATGCCAGTGTCCACAGGGAAGGAAGGAGCTTTTCCCCTTTAGCATTGCAACAAATGGTCTCATCCAATTAAGCCAGTGACAAAAATGGAAATTTCAGAAATAGCCTAAGTGTTGAGGGCAATTGAGCAGCTTTGAGACCAAAGCCTAGATTTAAAATTGGAAGTTTGTCCTACATCTGGACATTCTTCCTTAACTTTGCTACAGTAGAAACTGTAGTCAGTAGAATTAGGTCAGTGGGTAATGCCAAGTTAGCTGCTACTTATTGAAACGTATTTCTGAACATCTGTCACTTGTGACCTGGGCCTGTTTACCTCTCTCCTTGTCTAGCTTATCTGAAAACCAGTCCCTGCTGAGGATGCCCCCTTGGGAGAACATCTGGCTCGTGGGCTCCATCTGCCTGTCCATGTCACTCCACTTCCTAATCCTCTATGTGGAACCCTTGCCAGTAAGTAGTGGTGGGACCCCGGCTGGGGACTGGCTGCCTCTTCAGCAAGGCTGGGGGCTTGACAAGGCTTCTGTGTTTCAGCTTATCTTCCAGATCACACCACTGAATTTGACCCAGTGGCTGATGGTGCTGAAAATGTCCTTGCCTGTGATTCTAATGGACGAGACACTTAAGTTTGTGGCCCGCAACTACCTGGAACCTGGTAAAGAGTGTGTGCAGCCTGCCACCAAACCCTGCTCATTCTCAGCATGCACCGATGGGATTTCCTGGCCATTTGTGCTGTTCGCAATGCCCCTGGTGATCTGGGTGTATAGCACAGACACTAACTTTAGTGATATGTTCTGGTCTTGACTGACAGTTTTACATAAAGAAGATGTTTAACTTAATCAATTAATTTTTTTTATTGTTTAAAGCAACTGTCTATTTCTGCTGAATTTTCACATGAACATATTGGCTGGTGAAGGAGGTTTCATACTCTAGATTTTGTTTTGCTTTTTCTGACTCCAGTGGGGCAAGATTTTCCTTTTTTATACACATAATTAAAGTGTCCATTGACATGTACAGAGAACTAACACTATTTTATGCAAATATTTTTTTGTAGATGACAAAGCATGTACAGTGTTCTGTTTAATACTCATCCTTGTATAAAAAAAACAAAACGTTGAGCCAGCAGACATTGTCAGCAAATAATTGGCAGCAGATTTTAGGAAATGAATGTGTGTGGTTTTTTCTAAAATGATATAGCATGTATTGTGTCTTTTGCATGATCATCTGGATTCAATCTGAGATCACAGTCTAATTTTTATCCATAAGCCAGTTTTTCTGCACTGGGCAGAGTACTGCTACCTCAGTCAGTATTTTTGGTTTGCCACCCCCTCACCTCCTGGTTCACCTCCACCCCTCCTCACTCTTGGCCCTGATCCCACACTGCTCGGCTGCTTCTCCTGTAGGATTTCTTTCGATGGTTCTGTTTACGTCAGTCTTAACAAGAGGTATGCCTGTTCTCGCTTGTGCAGAAAACATTGCTCCAGATTTGATTGGGTTCGTGTCCCCTCACATAGTTTTTAAGGTTATTTATTTAAATGTCTAGTGTATTTTATTGTAACAGACATTGTTTTGCCAACATTGCCTATTTCAGCGGCACTTCACAATCTAGTTTAAAAAATAAAACATTTTAAATGGACAGAAAAATAACTGCCTTGTTTTTAACTCTTAAGTGGCCTAGCTTGAACTATCAACTTTCTCTTAAGTTCTTAGCTCAGACCTTTAGTTTTACTGTACTCACGGGGAAGAAGGATCCTGTTCTGCTGCATAGGTAGTTGTAAGAATTTTATTTTTTAATGTATAGGCACTGTCATCTGTGATTCATTTTATGCAAGTTTCTGCTGGCCTGGTGTAGAGAACATAAGGGCAAATGTGTGTATGTATATGTGCGTGTATGTGTTTTGTAAAATCTGTAAATAGCACATGACCAAATGAACATATTGTATAGAACTATTTTTATTTGAATGTGGCACTAACCACCACCACCGTACTATGATGCATGTTCCAGATCAGTCTTACCAACAGTGTATAAGTCATTAACAGCCCTAACTGTGGTGTTTTCCTCCAATGCCTTCCAACATCCATCAACTAACGTGAGTATTCCCTGGAATTCAGATGCTTTAACCTGAAGATGACTACCACCAAGTGAGCTAGCTGTGTGACACTAGTGAATAAGCCCCATGTGTCAGGCACTGCTGTGCTCTGTGGCTGTCCCTGAGAGCAGGGGGCATATGTGTGCTACCCGTGCCAGCGGCCTCAGATAGTGGCATAGCCAGATACTGGTTTGGGGAGGGCCTGGAGGAAGAGAGGCCCATTCTGATTTGGTGAGACCGAGGCTTTGTGAGGGAGCTGTGCCTTTGCTAGTGCTGAGAGAAGGTTCACAAAAAATCGTGATTCTTTTGATCTTTGTTAGCTGCAAGGACTCATCCCAGAAGTTTGGTTCATTAAAAAGCTAGTGAAAGCAAGTAACTGAATCAGTGAACTCACGTATCCGTAGGTTCCTCTTAAATAGACCACTTTTCTTCATCTTCTGGGTCCACATCCTTTGCAGCTGAGACTTGTCTTCTCTCTGCAGGGTACATTCAAGCACAGTCATTAGGGCAGGGCTCTGCTTGGCAGCAGTCAACCAGCCTTATCAGCCAGGGTGAAGGAGGCCTAGGAAGCACCTTGTGTTCGGTGGGTTGGCAGCTTCCTCCCTGTGAGGCCCTGAGTGTTCTTGTGAAGGTGTTTGGGCCCTGGTTGCTGGACCAGAAGATGTGATACAAGGGCTGGCCGTTTGGGGGGAAAGTTAGCAGGTATCAGGCAGGATGAGGAGGTGCTGCTGCCAAATCCAGAGGTCTGAGTGTCAGGAGGTCAAGTGCTTGGTGGAGACTGACTGAATGCAGAGTCCTTTCTCAGAGAAAAGGGAGGTTGGTTTGCTTGGCAAATAATGTAGGGGGTAGTTTTGCCCATTTTAGCATCATGAGTGGTAAAAAGAAAAGGGCCGAGTGGATCAAATGCCAGGAGTATGTCTTGGCTACAAACCAAAACAGGATGTCTGAGTTTGTTCGGTGGTGTGTTATTCAATGGAAACCAAACTAACCAGTCAACTTTCACTGACTCAGTTCCTTGATTTAGTGGCCTTTACAAAATAAGTTGAATGCTGTGGGCTGCTATGGGAGACATGCACAGCCCCAGATGGCCCTGGGCTGGTGTTGCCTGGTAGTTTCTCAGCTTCAGGCCTATCCAGCCCACGGAGGTGGTTTAGGCACCCACTTCCTTCAACCCAGACAGCTGAGTCCCTGTGTCTGCTCCACAGCAGGCCTCCTCAGCAATTGTCTTTCTGTGGGCACACCCATGGCCTCAGATTTCCATCCTGCAGTGAGCGGCAGCCACCCAGTCCCCTCCTCACCGAACAGGAAGGCAGTGCTTTTGCCGCCATCAGTAACTGGTTGGGGCAGCATCCTCCTCAGCCCCACCGTGCAGGTGTTGCCAGGCAGCTCCTGCCTGAAACACTTTCCCTATGGGCCTGTGGCCCATCCCATTAGAGTGTTCTGCTTTTTAGCACTCCATGCTCACCTGGCCTTTCGGATACAGCTTTGCCCAGAAGATGACAATCCCGTCCCTGGGGCACCACTCCAGCAGCTCGTTCTGCATTTAAAATACAGATAATACATTCATTATTAATACTATCAGGAGAGCGTGAGCTCACAGACAAGCAAGGCAACTGCCAGTCTCCCTCACAAGCAGCTGCTACCACATCACCCTCAAGCTGGGGCCTTTGCCCCCTGGATGTCTGTGGTAGGCATCCCTCAGCAGTATGAGGCCACAAGCGATAGCGCAGTGTCTGCCAAGCGCCTACCCACAGCCCAGAGCCTGCTGCATCTACCGAGCTAAGTTGGCCATTGCCTTTTCAATTTAACCACCAAATTATGTCAAAACCACCGGGCCTCTTTCTTGGAAGGGAATGGTGATAAGCAGCTGAGGTACAGGATTTTGTCCTGGGAACGGGCAGAGCTGGGCCTGCCCCTGGGGAAGGATGGGGAGGAGGAAGCTAGAGGCTTGGCGCTGAGTGCCACACTGCTCACTTCTGCTTCATATCCCTGCACTGCTAACTGAAAACTGTCCTGCTCTTGCCCATCTCACCCCTGTTACACCTGAAGCGATTAAGCATCTGCCTGGTGGGATTCTCCTGTGAGCCAGGGAGCTTTGCTATGTAGGCAGATGACACCAGGGATTTACATTGCCAAGCCAGTGTTTCCAGATGCTACCCTGTGTGGGCAGTGACTCAGGGACAGTTATCAGAAACGCTGATCTTAAAATCTTAAAAAGATCAAGCTGAATAGTCTCTTTTCATCTATCACTATTAATCTTAGTCTTAAGTAGTTATTCTAACATTTCCTCCCCATGTTTCATAAAGCTGATTTCCTCTTTCTTTCCTTTTCAGCAATGCTGGAGTAACCGCTTCCTAAGCCATTTTGCAGAAATGTAAGGGTGTTCGGTTGCGTGCATGTGCGTTTTTAGCAACACATCTACCAGCCCTCTGCATGATTGAAGTTGGGAGGCAGGGGGAGAAAAGTAGGAAAAAAGCCCCCAACTCATTGCGTGTTATGTAGAGGAAATGTGTATTACCAGTGAGATTTTTAGCTTTTAAATCAAAGTAATAATTACAAATGTACAATTTAGCTTAATGAATCAGAAAGCCTCTCCAGGAAATTTGTTTCTTTGTTACAAGAAGAATGGGTTCTGAAACCTTATCCAAGAACTTAGACACCATCAGCCAAGTCTCCATGCTTCTCTGTCCAAAATGTCATACCTTATATAAATGTACGATATTCAATATTCAGTTGTAATGCATGCCTTCAGTTGTAAGTAGCCAGATTTCTCTACAGTGTCATTGAAACATGCTACTTTTTAATTGGCCCTGTACAGTTTTGCTTATTTATAAATTTATTGAGAACACTACAGGTGTTGAATGGTTAAAATGTAGGCCTCCAGTTCATAACTTGTTAAATTTTGAGTGTGCAAACAGCTTTTTTGCGCTGTATTAAGTGTAACTTATTTAATGAAATCAGAAGCAGTAGACAGATGTTGGTGCAATACAAATATCGTGATGCATTTATCTTAATAAAATGCTAAATGTCAATTTATCACAACGCATGTTTGACTTTAGACTGTAAATAGAGATCAGTTTATTTCTGTGCTGGTAACAGGCATTGCACAGACGTGGTTTCAGGTAAATAAATCTATCCTACAAGTTCACAGCGTGGTGCTGATTGTTCTGTGAGAGGGGCGGGTGATGTGCATTGAGGGCCTGCAGCCCTGAGCAGTTTTGCCCTCGTGTGGATAAAAGGAAGGGGGGTAAGTTATTGGAGAGCAGAATGGTAGAAGGTCTGCTCGTGTGATAAGATTTATAAAATATTCCTGCCCTGGCTCTACTCTCTCCCATCAGTGGAATTTTCAGAGATAATTAACAATTTAGAAGTCGGCAGCTTAGAGACTATGTAGCAGTGGAGAGATGATTCTAACACTGTTCAGATTCTACCTTCCTATTGTTAATATAGAAAATAGAACTAAAATAGGACTGAAGGAAGTCCTGAAATTCATTCATTTGGTGGTTATTTAGTGCTTATCTGCCAGAGGTGGATATGCATGGGGCTTTTCTCTATGTTATAAATTTCCTAAGATTTTTTTGTCACTTAAAAAAGCAAAAGGAATCAGGAATGTAAGAATAGTTGGATGATTCTACAAAGCTAATAAATACAAGCCCTATCAACTCTACAGATATGGAACAACCATTTGATTAAATTTAACATCCAGATTATAACTCCCATTTTATAACATGAAAAATAAGCCAGAAGTACTGAAACACCAGAATTACTCACCATCCACCACTGCCCACTACCTAGCACTGTTCTGGAGAGTCATAGCCATCAGACGAGGGAAAATGCCTAGGAGTAAACAAAAAAGCAACTGTCATATATCGGATCCATTAGAAGGAACATCTGGTTCTTAGGAAAGTTTAATTCGGGGGAGAAGGGGAACTGACATCTTACCTAAGGTGTGGAGAATGGGCCCTCACATTGCAGAACAACTGGGTGAATTTACAGCTGCTCTTCATATACAACCCAGCAGCAGGTCCACTCCTACCTGAGGATTTTTCACACTGTTATCAAGATGTTTATAGAAGAAAAGTATTGGAAACAACCTAAATAACCATTTTCTTGCTGCTGTTGGTAAAGTACATTTGAGGCACATTGAAATCACACTCTGCAGCAACGAAAAAGAATAAACAGAGATAAATCTCCCTGCACAGTGAAACCATGTGTGGCGTGTATCAACTTCAAAATACGCAAAACAAGAGGGCCATGTAATAGCTCATCTGGCCTTAGCACATCTGTCAGCTAAGCTCGGCCACAGGTGGATTTACATTTCCAGTGCAAACTCCTCAGCTCCGAGTGGACTAGTAGCAAACCCATCAGTAACAACTTCAAAGACACCAGCTATAGGGGAGGTGATAGGATAGTGGTTAGTTCCAGGAGGAAGGGAGGTGGGAGGAGGGCAGGTGGTCAGGGCTTCACCTCTCAGTAATGCTTCGTTGCTATGTCTATAGGTGTTCATTGTGCCTGTTTGTATGCCTGAGATTTAAAAAGCAAGGCGTGAAAGTACCAGGAGAAAACATGGAAGAAGAAAAGCCTTTCTAGGCATGGAACAAAATCCTGGAAGACTATATAAAAATGTAAAAATTTCATATAGAAATGTAAAAATTCCAGAATAGACTGTACCTCTGTAGAGTTAGGAAAAGAGATTTGTTGTGCATGACAAAGAGCATATTCCCTTCACATATGATTGGCAAAGATCAAACTTTGATATTGATCTCTCCCCTTTGCAGCTGGCATTAGGAAAACAAGTACTTGTGCTGATGGTGAGAATATAAATTGGCCCAATCTCTGGAGGGCAATTTGACAAAATGATATTTTTGAACATCCATAACCTCTGATCAAGCACTTGAATATTATATAGTCCTCAAAAACAAGGTAGATCTGTGTAAACCGGTGTCTAGTGTATATTGTCTGCCCAGTAAAAGACTCAAGTGCAGATCAGTGTATAATATTCTATTATTCGCTTTAAAAAGGAGAAAGTTAAGTGTCTAGTAATCAGTGCTTGCTGAGAATAACTGAAAACTCTGTGATACAGATGGCAGATGGTGGGCACCAGGTTTCTCACTGTTAGAGTGGGAAATTACAAATAAGCAAGGGGAGAAGGCTAGAATGATCCAAGCAGTAATGAGTTACAGTTGGAGACACCAGGATGAACTCATATTTAGCTTGATATAGATGATTCCACACAGGACTATTTCTAGTTACATGTATATAAATATGTACAGGCAGTCCTCGGGTTACGTCAGAAATCTGTTCCTATGGTGCGATGTAACTCGATTTTTGCCGTAAGTTGGAACCCACCTACATAAGCACCTACGTCACTCAAATGGAGCACATACACAGCAGTAATGAAGTGAAACAGTAAAAAAATTGTAAAAGAATAACAATTCCTGACCTTGTGGTAAATAAATAATAAAAAACATGTACATTCGTCGAAATGACAGAACTTTTTTTTTTAATAAATAAACGGGAGATGGCGACATAACCACGAAACGGCATTCATCAAGTCCGACGTAACCCGAGGACTGCCTGTATTCCTTGCACTGTCAACTGAGGGTGAGAGCAAAGGGCCCTAGTAGTTTCGGGTTTCTAACACCATTCTCCAATAAAAGGAATCAAGCCTCCCTGGAGAAATGGCTGGTTCTAGGGCTGGGGCAGAAAACAGCACGTGCCTGCAGAACACTGGTGCCAATGAGTAAGGAAGCGCTCAAAAATCAAAACAATCATTGATGGGGTCATGTCAAAGAGACACAGAAGCCAAATGAAAAAGCTCTTAATGGCCAAAGTTGGAGCAATCTGAGAAAGTGGCATTGGACTATAATCCAAAGTATAAAATACACTTCTGTGAGTCCATAGTGTACATAAATGAGACTAGAAATGTCCCATACAAGAGTTCTACATAAATCCTCTGCCCTCAAGGGACACATAACTCCCTATTCCTTAAGTGTGAGCTGTACATGCAGTGTGGACGGGGAAAGTAACCCACAGTGCAGAAACCTGACAGCACTACCTCAGCCAAGAGAGGTCATCTAGAGAGCACGTCCCATAGTCGGAAGTGAAAAGAATGACATCTTACCTGTGATCTTCCTCTCCCCCAAAGCATATAACCACAGTTTAATCAAAGGCAAATATCTGACAAATCTGAAAAGACATTCTGCAAAATACCTGACACATTCCTTAACAACCGACGAGTCATCAAAAACAAGGAAAATCAGCAACTCACAGCCAAGAGGAGCCTAAGGACACGCAGTGACTGATGTAACACTATACTGGATGGGGTCCTGGAACAGAAAGAAGCAAAAATTAAAGAAATCTGAATAAACTATGGGCTTGGTAAGTAATAATGTATAAATATTGACCTGTAATGATGTATAAAAATGTGACTAAGGTACCGTAGCTGTAAAATGTTAATAAAAGAGAAAACTGAGTCTAGAGTATATGGGAACCTTCTGTATGATCTGCTCAATATTTCCGTAAGTCTAAAAATATTCTAAAGTTCAAAGTTTATTTTAAAATGCTGGGATAAATATTTTTTTTAAATCCTCATAGAAGCATCAAAGAACTACAAAATGGTACATATGCAGGCCAAAATCTAAGAGAATGCAAGAGAGAATCAAGGTCACTTTTCTCTTAGTAAACTAAGCTGTGAAAACAAGCAAGGTTTTGAGAGCTCACAGAGCACAAAAGGCAAAATAAAAATCCAGGGCCCACCTGAAGTGGGAAGTCTCCTAGGACATCAGGCTGTGACCCTGAAAGACTACTACTACAGGGAAGAGCTAACCAGCACGCACCTGCCCTCCCCTCCCCAACACTGGGAAGCCTGTAGGCAGCATTGCCTTGGTGCTGAGCAGAATCAGGAAAACATACCCACCCTGGAGAGAGCGTAAACACTGGCAACAGAATTGTCAGCCCAAACTCTACCCCAGGGGTGGTCTGGGAAACCCCTAAGCACCAGGCAGATAAATGTAAACCTTCTAGAGGACAGCACCTTCATTTTATGTGTTGGGAGATCCACACACTTATTTTTCAAAGCAGCACGCAATAAAGGTTAACCAGGTACACAAGAAAACAAGGCACCTGAGTGAGAGCCAGCAGACGTTCACATTACAGACCCACCCAGACTTCACATAGTGGAAGTATGAGAGGTCATAAAACATCCATGCTTATAGTAGTCCCCCCTTATCCATGGGGGTCTTGAAAAAAGGAAAGCTGAAGAAGACAGTAGACTGAGAAAGCTGACAAAACATACATTTTATCATAGTTTCAGAAGACAAGAGAATGAGAAGGCTATTATTCGAAGCAATTAGTGGCTGAGAATTTTCTTAAACTGACAAGAGAGCAATACACAGATGCAAGAATCCCAACAAATCACAAAGAAGAAAACTATATAAAAAAAAAATCAGCCCTAGACATAGTATACTGGACTATGGAAAAACAAAAACAAAGAGAAAAATCTTAAAAGTAACAGAGGGGAATAAAAAAGACACTACTTTTTTTTTTTAATCTTCACCCAAGGATATTTTTTCCATTGATCTTCAGAGAGAGTGCAAGGCAAGGGGAGAGACAGAGAGAAACATCGATGTAAGAGAGACACATTGATTGGTTGCTTCCCGCACAGGGTACCCTGACCAGGGCCAGGATTGAGCCTGCAACTGAGGTACGTTCCCTTGACCAAAACTGAACCACAACCCTTTAGTCTGCGGGATGATGCTGTAACCACTGAGCCAAATCAGCTAGGGCAAAAAGGCATTACTTTTAAAGGGTGACAGGTCACTGCTGACTTCACAACAACCGGTGGAGACCAGAAAATAGCAAAATGTGCTGAACGAAATTACTGGCAATCTAGAATTCCAAACCTGGAGAAAATATACAGTATTTAAAGAGTCAAGGCAAAATAAAGATAATTTCAGACAAACCAAGAGTTCATCAGCAGGCTCATACGAAGGGAAATTCTGGAAGGCCGGAGGGAAACAATGTAAGTGATCTGAGGAGTGGGAGGAGATAGACCCTGCCTAGCTTCAGATGCAGACACACTGGTCGGTGTGTAATCAGAGGCAAGACTAACAAAGCCGCAGAAGGAAAAAAATGAAAGAAAGCTAAAGGAACAAATAGGACACTAGATGACAGACAACCTCAAATGCTATTGCCTATAACAGCATTGTAAGAAAGTACATTGTAAGAATGTAGTAAATATGTTATTCCTGACTCAAGTGTGACCCAGATGTTCTCCTTTAGAAAAGCAGTCTGTGCTTCTCACGTGACGTGATTCAGGAAGAGACACAAACAGGTCCAGCAGACAGCCAGGAAGTGTCAGGATGTTGAGATTGGTTGCTTTTCCATCAAAATTAGTAGAAGTTATGAAAGGTATTTTGTGCCCTGGTTGGGTGGCTCAGTTGGTTGGAGTGTCGTCCTGTATATTGAAAGATGGCAGGTTTGGGTCCAGGTCAGGGCAGATAACTCGGTTTAGGGTCAATCCCCAGGCGGGACATGTACGGGAAGCTGCCGGTCAATGTTTCTCTCACATGGATGTTTCTCTCAAAAAAATCAATAAAAACATATCCTCAGGTGAGGATTATAAATAAGTAAATAAATAAATAAATAAATATTTTGTATTTTGGAAACTAAAATGGACTAAAAATGTATGAAGTTTAACATTTATATCTTTTGGATATGTAATAAATCAAAATCTGTTAAGAAACAGATTTCAGCCCTGACCGGTAGAGCGTCGGCCTGTGGACTGAAGGGTCCCAGGTTCGATTCCAATCAAGGGCATGTACCTTGGTTGCGGGCACATCCCCAGTGGGAAGTGTGCAGGAGGCAGCTGAATCGATGTTTCTCACTCTCTGTCCCTCTCCCTTCCTCTCTGTAAAAAATTAAAAAAAAAAAAAAACGAAAAGAAAGATTTCATTGAAAACAGATTTTACATAAACTCTGCTGATGAACTGTGCAACTACAAAAAGGGGTGTGGTAATATACACACAAAACTATGCAATTTCAGGTTATCTCTGGAACAATGCACAAGAAACTAGTTAAGTCTGACTGCTTCTGAGGAGAGAACTGAGAGAAGAAAGGCAGGATGGGGAAATTTTACCATATGCCCTTTTGTAAATTGTGAATCTAACTTAAAAAAATGTATTAGACCATCTGAAAGTAACAATTTTATGGAAGTACAAAGAGCTAAGAATAGCCAAAGCACTGTTAAAGTCATAGGGTCTTGCTCTCCCAAATATCAAAAATTTTCATAAAGCTGTCATAATGTAGACAGTGGGTTTGGGATAGAGACACTGACCGCTGGTGGGAAAGAAAGAACTCAGAAACAAGCACTCATCTGGGACTCCCAGCTGGCGTCACATCTCAGTGGGAAAGCAAGTAATTTTTCAATAACCAGCAGTTAATGCATATTTAAATGTAAAATTTTAAAAATCAATAAAACTGGATCCCTATCTCGTACATATTGGGAGAATATGTTTAACTTGAAATAAGGAAAAGGTTGATAAATTCAACTACATTAAAATGAAAGCCTCTGTTCAAAAAGATATGAGAATGGAAAAACAAGCCACAAACTGGAAGAATATATTTGCAACTCATATTCTGAATTATATCTAGAGTATATAAAGAACTGTGAATAATAACTCAACAAAAAAGAGGGCAAGGAAAAGGAATTTCACATAAAAGGAAGCATAAATAGCTCCTAAACATATGAAATGATGCTCAATCTTGTTATAAAACATAAATGTAAATTGAAATCACTATGTTATCTCACACCCACTGTGCTGGAGAAAATTAAGATTTGATAAGATCAAATGCCGGTGAAGAAGTAGAAAAAAGAACTTCAGGCATACATACAAATTTGTACAACTTCTTACAACATCTGGTAAAATTGAGCACACACAAACCCTACACCCATTAATTCCTCCTCTGAGTATGACCCTACAAAAATGTGTGCTTATGCATACTAGAAGACATACAAAAATATATAAAGCAGCAGCATTTGAAATAAAAAATTAGAAACAACTTAAGGGTCCATCAATGGCAGAATTACCAAGATGCGAGTTATAGCTGTAAGTGGAATATCATATAGCAGTGAAAAATAAATAAGACACACGGGCAGCGTGGCTCAATGGCTGAACATCAATCCAGAATTCAGGAGGTCATGGCTTGATGCCCGAGTTTCAGGCTCCATCTCCAGTGTGGGGCATGCAAGAGGCAGCTGATCAATGATTCTCTTCATCATTGATGTTTCTCTCTCTTCCTCTCTACAGAAACACAAAGAATTATAAGAAAATACTATGAACAACTATTTGCCAACAAGCTGGATGATGTGGATGAAACGGACAAATTCCTAGAAAAATACAATCTCCTAAAAATGAATCAGGAAGAATAAGAAAACCTGAAGAGGCCAATAACAACTGATGAAATAGAAGCAGTAATCAAAAAACTCGCAGCAGCTCTAGCTGGTTTGGCTCAGTGGATAGAGCGTCGACCTGCAGACTGAAGGGTCCCGGGTTCAATTCTGGTCAAGAGCACATGCTCAGGTTGCGGGCTTGATCCCCAGTAGGATCAAGTGCAGGAGGCAACCGATCAATGATTCTCTCTCATCATTGATGTTTCTATCTCTCTTCTTCGCCCTTCCTCTCTGAATCAATTAAAAAAAAAAACAAAAAACAAAAAACTCCCAGCAACTAAAGCCCTGGTCCAGATGGTTTCACAGGGGAGTTTTTACCAAACATTCAAAGAACTAACACCTATACTCCTCAAACTATTCCAAAAAAATCTAAGAAGAAGGAACACTTCCAAGCTCTTTTTATGAGGCCAGCATTACCCTAATTCCAAAATCAGATAAAGACACTACAAAGAAAGAGAATTACAGACCAATGTCCCTGATAAACATAGATGCTCAAATCCTCAACAAATTAGCAAATTGGATCCAGCAATATATTAAAAAGATCATACACCATGACCAAGTGGGATTTATTCTGGGGATGCAACACTGGTACAATATTTGCAAATCAATAAACATGATACATCACATAAACAAATTGAAAAACAAAAATCACATGATCATATCAATAGAAACAGAAAATGCCTTAGACAAAACCCAACAACCATTTTTTATAAAACACTCATCAAAGTGGGAATAGAGGGATCATATCTCAACATAATAATAAAGACCATATATGACAAACCTACAGCGAACATCATATTCAATGGGCAAAAACTAAAACCATTTCCCCTAAGAACTGGAACAAGACAGGGGTGTCTGCTTTCACCATTCTTGTTC